TGGTGTGACAATTGACCTTATCTGTGAAGTAAGATTACACTTTAGGCTTAAATGATCATAGCTATACAGCAAATAAACTTTTATCGTAATATCAATGCTTAGTACAGTTGCATTAGAGTGTCCTTAACAAGGGAAATTAGTACTTTGATTTGTAAACAGCAAACTTAGTAAAAAAAACTGGATATTCATTTAAAATACGATTACACACCAAGCGTAGTTCATTTGAGACAAAACGTAAATGTAAGATAAAAAAAATTTGATTTCAGTTTTACCATTTAACCACTTACAAAGTTTTGCCTAAAAAATTGCTGTCTGTCTGCAAAAAAGACTACTGACCGAACTGGTAATCTCAAAATCTCATCAGTTACTTGATGCTGATTTTGACAATGCATTACTGAACGGGTTAAATGTTTAATATTTGACCAAACAAATTTCTTCTAAGTTTTACAACAAAAAAAATAGACTAGTTTTTTCTGAATTTGTGCCATAAAAAAAAAATGTTACTGGTTAGCTAAAAAAATATTTTGAAGTTTTGCTGCTTAACGAAATACCATCTTTTTTTTCCTTTGATGATTGTTGTCGATCGGTCAGACAGAAATGAAGAGATACGGAAGGTCAAAATTTGTCTACTGCACTTGAAATAACAATCAACTTAATAACATTGAAAAAACGTTTTGCTTCTATCACGTCTTTTTCTCAAATGTTTAAGATTGCAAAAAATTTGACCATTTTCTGCCCACAACTACCAACTTTTCCCTATGGCGAGTATTTGCTATACCTAAATTCTATAAAACCATTTAGTGTGTAAAGTGAAAAAAAGATGTCAGAATCACTTCCAAAACCAAAAAACATTTTTAAAAGGTTGATAAATCAATGGTCTTTTGTTAATTAAAAAAAATTCAGTTGTTTAGAAATTGTCAAAATCAGAAATACTTTGGTGTTTGCTAAAATAACAAAAAGAAGAAGAAAAAAAAATCTAATGGTTTAACAGTGCAGTCATTATTTTTCGCCTGTATAAAAATAGCAAGTGATCAAAACACTCACTTGTTTGAATCACTTACAACAGATTTAGTGCATTTTTTAGCAGCAGTACCTCAGTTTTACTTCGCAAAAAGCTGACCCAGCACTATACTGGTTTTTATTTCTACAGTTGCGTGGTTCTTTCAAATAAAGTATTTATTAAGTTTATTTTTGAAGCTACGAAAAAATTAGTTGTCAAAAATAGCTCTGTGATGTTGCAAAAGTGATGAAAGCAGACGATATAACTTTTGTTCAATGAAGCAATGTGTCAAATGTTAGTTTTTTTTATCAGAGAGTATCTTTTCCTATAAGATAAATTGTGAATTTTTGATATTTTTGGTGATACAGAACAGAAAAACAGTGGTGTAACAGTATTCTTAACAAAATTCTATTGCTTATAGTACTCATGTATAATTTTTGCTTCTAAATTGCTGGCTGAATTCTCGCGATAAAACATAGTTAGTTTTTAGTGAAAAAGATTTATGAATAAAAAAGAAAAAAACAATAAAGATAAAGAATTGTTGCTTAATTACTAAACAAAAATCATAAAAATTAGCAAAAAAAAATACTTTCTATTCTACTCTTACTATTTTTATACTTTACAAAGTCAGTTTTTTTGCCTTTTTTCTTCCTTTCTGATAAAATTTTTGCAGTAGTGATGACGGTTCTATTAAGATGAACAGCGAAAAAATTTTTTATAGAAATTTTCGTTAAGGGTCAATTGTTTTAAAAATTTTCTTGATAAACTTGTCGTCCTGTATAATTAAACGCTTAATTTGGGTCAGAAATAAAGACACTGCCGCAATTACGGTTTTATTTCTCAGTTATCCCGCTGATTGAACCGTCTTCTCATTCACTCCATTTTCGTTTGCTATTCTTCGTTTCCACCACAAACTATTAAATTGTATTCTTTCTTTCAATGAAATGAAATACGTCACTTTCAGAAGTTTCATGCTAAGCTAAACTTTCTTGGATTTTTTCTAATAAATAGTAACTTTCAAAATAAAAAAATATTCCAGAAAGACTTGCCGACAATGGGTTCGGCGCGGCTGACCACATTTCTTGCTTCAATATGTAGTTTTTGCTGCATTACACTGGTCATTGTCACTCTGCCGCTAATGCATTTCCACTCCCAAAAAGTTACATCGATGTTGCTAGCTGAAGTGGAGTTTTGCAAGGTACAATTTAATTTTTTTTTCACTGCGTTACAGCAAAGTCTTTCTCATCATATGTTCTTGAAAATATCTTAGATCGAAAGCCGTGATATTTGGAAGGAGATGGCAACAACAGTCGGAAAAGTTCGAGCTAAAAAAGAATCAACATATTCTGGTGCTGCAGATTCTGCTAATAACTTACCTCCGTTAGGTGGTTCTTGCTGTGCTTGCACGCAAGGTCCACCTGGTCCACCAGGTCCACCGGGGGAGGATGGCGAACCAGGTAATTGCAAAGCTTAAAAGATTGCTTTATTGATGTTGCTTTCAAAAAAGAGTTGCCTTTACTTTATTGTCGATTCTTTTACGACCTAGAACTAAATTTTATAAATAATATTTTCTGTTTCAAATTTAGGTATTCCTGGTGAGTCTGGAGCTAGAGGACCGCGTGGAAGAGACGGTGTTTATTTGCCAGCTCCACCACCTGGCACCAACTCTTGCCAAAAGGTAAATTGCCTTTCTTAAAGATTTATTTATGACTACCTATTAATTGACAGCTTCAAATAAGCTATTTATAGTGTCCGCCAGGGCCACCAGGTCCACCCGGTTTACCAGGCACAAAGGGACAACGGGGTGACCCAGGAGAACCCGGTATTTCTGGCAAACCGGGAGAAGCAAATAGACAAGGTCCACCAGGACCGCCTGGGCCACGTGGAGAAACAGGACCTCCAGGGCCAAAAGGACCACCAGGAGATCCCGGTAAAGTACTCAATGGGGCTCCACCAGGACCTCCAGGTCCTCCAGGACGTATTGGGGCGCGTGGGGCACCAGGTGGACGCGGTAAGAATTTATAGCAATGCTGGATGAGCTTTCATTATAATTACAAATCTATTCTATTTTATGTTATTTTAGGTCATGACGGTAAACCAGGCATGCAGGGCATTCAGGGAGTTAGAGGACCTGTTGGAGAAAGGTATTACTTTGGAGTAGACAAAAAAGTGCTCTTTTTAAAAAAAATTTCTATACAAAATTTGATTTTCTTATCACTTCAAGAAGTTTACTTTTTACAGAGGTAATCCTGGTAATCTTGGAATGCCAGGGCCACCAGGACCACCAGGACCTCAAGGAGAACATGGATCTTGCTCTCACTGTACGGGTAAGTTCTATTTATAATTTATTTGTTGCTGTGAAAACTATTTATCAAATGCAGTCAAAACACTGAAATTTATTTCGTTAACTTTTTCATATTACGGTAAAATAATAATAATTTTTCTTCTCAGGCCGTCAGCAAAACAATAAAGAAATACGTCGAAAACAACCTAAAGTTGAATCTGCTGAAGAATATTTGGGTGATGAATCAAGAGATTATTTATGGATTCATTAAATTTTTTTTTTTTTGTTACTTAATTCTGTTTTTAAGAAAATAAAAATCTTTATGCCTGAACAATTGCTCAATTTGTAGATTTGAAAAAAAGACGTTTTTTTATGGTATTTAAGTCTAAAAGTTTTTATTGTAGTGATCAATGTTATTATGTTAATCCTCTTCTGAGTTATCGATAGTTTTATAGCAATAATTTTTTACTGTAAAGCATTTGAATTTTTTTTAAAAAAATTTTGCTTAATAATGGTATCTCACTGTGAGCTATAAAAATTGTATATTATCGGTGTTCGTCTTAATACTTATTATTCTTTCATTGTTAACAGATACAAATTATGAAATAAATTTTTATTGTTTCAGCTTTTAAAAGACAATAGTTTTAATTAATTTTAAGACTTAAACATAACATTTGAGCAGCGAAAAGAAGATAAGCTGAAAATTTGTCGTTTTACTTAATTATTTAACTGATGCATAATTTAAATGCCAGCAAAGTTTATCAAAACACATTTTGACCGCTTTTAAGGCACGTCTTTAACTGTTTTTTTTTATTCAATCAAATACAATTTTAAAGTAATCAACAGTTTTGACGTTTCATTTCGTAAAAAAAGCACAGAATTTTGAAATACCTTATACCATAAATTTAAAAACACATTTAAGTCTTATATAAATAACTTACATCAAATTATACATCAAATTGATATATATTTGTTTGAATTGGAATATATTGGAATAAGAAAAAACATCTTTAATTTGGTCGTCAAAGCATAACTTGAACGAATGACTGTTTTATAAGAACTATTGTTTAACAGAATAACTTTGAATTTAAAAGACAGTGATACAGTTGCTTGAAATTGTTGCAAAAAAATGATACAATGTAAGTGAATAGAGTGAAGGCAAAATAAATTTGAAAATATTTTCAATCTTAATGTTGTGTAAAAACTATGATGAAAAGATTTAAGCTAAAACAGTCACTTGTTTCACTAAGAATTATTTCTGGATTATTTTCTGTTCTAATCTGAAAGAAGAAAGAATAAATTTAGTAAATCAGTGAAAACTATTACCAAAATAATAATTTAAAAAGAAAATGATCGACTGCTTGTAGATTTACTAAGTGATAGCGATACACCGAGCAGTTTGACAAATCATATTTGATGGACATCTGCCATTTAAGCAGGTTAAATTTGATACTGTTTTCGGCTTTCGTCTTACCAATTTATCTGCTGAAGATTCAGTAAGACTGACAAATATAATGTGAAAATTAATAACAGTACCAATTAATTACTAAAGTACACTTAGATTACTTACCAAAATTCATAGCTAGAGTATTTGATGTACAAAAACCGTTGATGCAGTACTGACCGATCGGACAAACTGCTCCTGCTGAACATGCTAAAAGTTAAAGTAACAACTAATAATCTTTTCAGATATTAATCTTTGTTCATGTTAAACTTGTAGAACTAAATCTTTAGTTGCAGCAACAGTTCTGTATTAAAGAAGTTTTTAAATAGTTGACCAAGTACTTAACCTTTTGACGCTGCTTTTTTTTTTTTGAGGAAAAAGTAATAAGATAAAAACTCAATTTTTTTAAAATGATTATTTATTTATGTGTTTTTTTTTATTTTAAAACTGCATTATTTTTTAATCAAAGCTAAAAGAATAATTAATTAGCTAAGCGGATGTTGTATTGTCATATTAGTATATAATGAGAACTTACAAGTGACTGGTACCGGCGCTTGATTCCCACCATAAACTACATTGCTTTGAGTGCAAAAGCCATTAACACAAATTTGGCTATTCAAACAGTCGTAAACAGTGTTACAATTCTGTGTACCTTAAAAGAAAAATTTTTTTTGTTTTTTCTATTTTTTGTTTTAATAAACAATTTTTGCAACAGCTGACAAAAAAGCTTTTTTTTTTGAAACTTTTATTAAGCTAAAAAAAGGTGATAAACGAAGAATGACCTTCGACTGGATAGATGTTTGTTGCCAAGGTACATCTTCCATATGCACATATTTGATGTCGATTACATTCAGAATTTATTTTACAGACTTAAATATATTTGGACATTACTAAATTTGTCATTTTTAAATATTACCGAGAGAAAAAAGTATTTGTATAGTAATAAAAAATACAAAAAAAAAACTTAAGTACCAATAAATTTTAATGCACAAAAGAACCTGTTGATACGATAAATAACTGTCTTTTGTTCGCAATAAATTTAGTAAACTGCTAAAATGCATCTACAACTTCACTTGTCTAAGGTTTATCAAAACAAAAGTTTTAAACAGCAAACTGTTGAAAATTAACAGTTAAGGTAATTTCTTTCTTTAAGACATTAATCGTTTTCTGGCGTCTTTTTTGTGCGACTATAAATATGAGTAAAAAAAATAATGAAAAACAGAGAATGAATATAATTATATTAAAGATAAAAATAGAAACAGTAGCTCGATTAAGATTTGATTTACTTTGGAATATTTCTTTTTTTTTTTTTTAATTTTGCTCAGCTCTGAAACAACATATAACTCAGTGCCGTCGCTTTATTAATATGTAGTCAAAATCAGATGCATACATTTTGTTGTCGGATAACCTAAGGTCATCATCAACGGATCTGGAAGAAAACCGTTTATTGGAGCACCATTATAATAGGCGGAATGGTCATTATCATTTTCAGTCAAAGAACTGCTAACACCAGATGATATACAGATTCCACTAATGCATAGTTGACCATATGGACATGATATATATCTGCAGATATCATATCCGTATCCTGGCACTGAGCTTATCAAGGTAAAGTCTGTGCTGCTAAGCCTAAAATTTTATAAAATGTTTCTCGCTGGCAGAGCATATTATCTATAAAAAAAAATTTGCAAAATAATGTTATATTAAAACTAAAATGTTTTAATCACTTAATACTTTAACTGTAATGTTGAAGTACCTTAATAAAACCTGGTTTTTAAAAGTTATTGCTTAATCAATAAGGTCGTTTAAAAATGGTCGTATATTATGAAAAAACTAAATATTCATTGTATACATAATGACGGGTTTTAAGAATTGAATCTCAATTTTTTGGTTGCTAAGAAATCAGCAAGCTTTTGATGCTAAAAATTTATTCTGTAAAAAGCCACAATTTATATGTTCAATGTAGCAGTAAAATTTAGTTCAGCCTCAGAATATTTTTCGGCTTTGCAGATTATCCTAATTGTTAGCATTTGTTCAAAATAAGTGTTTTTATTGGTACACCAAATGACAAAATGTGAATTAGGTATTGCTAAGGTCAAAAAATAGCAAAATTTTGTCATTTAAAAGAATTGCTTAACAAAAAAAACAGCTACTTTTAGCAGTTTACAAATAAAGTACAGCAAATAGAATGTTTCGAGAAACTGCACTGCTAATTTTTCATCAGAATTGCTTATTCAGACAAAAAAAAAGAGAAAAAAAGCTCACTATTCCTGATTTCAATAAAAATTGCAAAAAACAAAGTTTGTTGAACAATAAAAGGAGTTTTAAGCACGGAAGTAATACTGACAAAAAAAGAGTAAATTAACGAAAGACATTTATTTTGTTGGGTAGTTTATAGTAGTTTACTACTTAATCGCTACTTAATCGCTACTACTTGATACTTCTACTTAATCGCTGACTTAATACCAGATAAAATAAATATTAAATATATTCTACTTTTTCTTCCAAGTTTTTTCCTTTTTTTGAATTTGTTCTATTAAAAGAATTTAATGACTTTTTTTTACAAATCTATCCTCGTTTAGTTTAGAAAATTGTTGGTAAAAAGAAAGAAAAACATCGACCAAAAATTTAAGTATTCAAATTTTTACTATAATTGGATCAAATTGAAGGCAAAAGATTTGTTTTATTCTAAAAGTAGTTAACCGAAAACAAACAAAATATCGCGCTTTGGATTATCTTATAGGTGTCAAGAAATGCAAGGATTAAACTTGAAACTACAGTTACACGTCACAGAAACCATCGATCGTATAATGATCAAATAGTGTTGTCAAAAATGGAAACAATTTAAAATCTGTATACAGTCTATGAGAACAAAATAGAATAAGTTAGTTACCTGATAAAGCACAGAAAAATTATGAGCATCTGATCGGTGTACATCGTCAATAGATTTTGGTAAAAAAGATAGATAAAGGCCAGTTTTGCTTTTTTCTTTGCTTTTATTTGCTTTTTTTTTTTTT